CACACACACACACACACACACACAAATCAACAAATTTTTAAAAATGTATTATATTTGAGGAGGAAGCATGGAAATTTACGTCATGTTAATAAGTAGAGGTGATAAACATTACCATTGAAATCTACTTGATGACTTTATAGACACACACAGGCGCCAAGGATCCAAGTGCAACCGATTAAGACTAGTAATAATCACATACATACAGATTAGAGATGTATGTGCCAACATCTCAGTGCTAGTAGCAAAAACAATGAGTCTTTCCACAAGGAACAATATATTCCAAAATGAAATGGAGATCTTTTTTAAAGGTTAAAAACTCATTTAATTTTATGTCTTATATGGTTTATACTGAGTACAATATTGTATAACTGTAATAATTCAACTGTAAACCTAAAAATTTACAGCCAATTTTGAAAAAGATGCATCTTAGCTCAGAAAATTGTTATTGAATGTCAATGCTGTTGTAATGAAATGCTTCTAAGTATGTGGTTATTAAATAATAAACAAAAAAATCAACAAATTTTTAAAAATGTATTATATTTGAGGAGGAAGCATGGAAATTTACGTCATGTTAATTAGTAGAGGTGACAAACATTACCATTGAAATCCACCTGATGATTTTAAATTCATACTCAGGTGTCAAAGATCTGAGTATAACTGACTGTAACTACTAATAATCAGATACATAGAGATTAGAGACACGTGTAAACTTCTAAGTGTCAGTAGCATTAAAAATGAGTCTTCAAGCTGGGCGTGGTGGTGCGCGCCTTTAATCCCAGCACTCAGGAGGCAGAGGCAGGCAGATCTCTGTGAGTTCAAGGCCAGCCTGGTCTACATAGTGAGTTCCAGGCCAGCTGGGGAAAAATTTACAGCCAATTTTGAAAGAGATGCATCTTAGCTCTGGAAATTATTATTGAATAAGTCAATGCTGTTGTAATGAAATGCTTCTTATTTATCATTAAATAAATAATTAACTGGAAAAAAATGTTTTTATAGTGCATTTAAAAATGGATTTTTTTTATATTCCATTAAAAAAAAAAAAGTCACCATTCTTTTTTAAAGGGGAGGTGGATATGCTGGGAATTTAATCCAAGGTGTCAAGCATGGTAAGTTTGCACCCTACCACAGCAACAGCCCCAGCCCTTTCTGTATTTTTTATTTAGAGACAGGGTCCAACTAAGCTTCCCAGGCTAGCCTTGGCCTCACTCTGTAGCCCAGGCAGGACCTGAGCCTGCGAATCTCCTGAGGCAGCATTCTAAGTAGCCAGGATTATAGGCCTATACCACCATGCCCAGCTCACCACTCATTCTTAAGCCCCAAAGAATTAAACAGAAGAAAAGAAAACAGCTAGTTCAGGTTTCCCCTTTAGAAAAATATAATTTGGATTTAGAAAAGATTAAGTAAGGTGGTTCTATGCTTTATGAAACAAGTTCTCACTCTATTAGAAGCACTCATTCTATGCCATAGCAAACAACAGACTTGCAATGATACTGAAAACAAGCTTCTGTTTGCATACAGCTTCTCAGGCATCCATCTTCCCAGGTGTAAGGCACCTGCCCTAACCAAAACTGGTAACATTTGGAGAATCCTCTTACCTTATGTTCAAATGGAGCACCATAGTAGCCATCATTTAGCCCAAAAACTATTTCATTTTGGTTGCGGGCATGAATCTAAGAGAGGAGGAAAACATACTATTATTTCTTATTCCAAGAACTCTGTAATATGATCAAGAATGACAGTTGTAACATGACCCATGTCCATGCTGGGAGGAGAGGCTAGCTGTATCTAAACCAAACAGAAAACAAAACAAGTCTCAAAGACCAGGTGAGCAATGGAGCTCTACAGCTCCAGTCAAAGGCCTCACAAAAGTACTTCGTAAGATCATAGGTGCCATTATTTGAATGTTTCCCCCCCAAAATTTCTTGAGTTGTTATGGAACAGTTACTCCTAAAGGATGGGAACACACGGGCAAAAATCACACACATTCTGAGCTCAAAGAAAACAATCCCAGTCAGTACAAATGCTTTTGAAATGGAAGGCATGGAACCAGCACAAAGGATCAAGGCAATTTTCTACTTTCAAAAGGACAAGATAATGATAACAGTACACTGGAGTCTGATCTGTCTGCATACAATTCTCTGTAAGATGCAACTGCCATGAGCCACTGTCAATGCTGTACCAGATTCAATCTCACCTGAAAGGCCGGAGGAGCGTAACTTTAAAAGGTTAAAAAAACTAGCCAGGCATGGTGACACATGGCTTTAGTCCCAGCAGGCAGAGCAGGAGACAGAGGCAGGTGGATCTCTATGAGTTTGAGGTCAGCCTGGTCCTCATAGCAAATCCAGACCAGTTGCAGGCTACAGGGAGGCCCTGTCTCAAAAAAAAAAAAAAAAAAAAAAAAAAAAATCTAAAAAAAAAAAAAAAAAAAAAAAAAAAAAAAGAACTGATATCTAAAATAACTCAAAATAATACCCAACTATGAAATGCAAAGGTAACTTTCTTTTATCAGAAAGAGTTGTGGCCTTTTAAAAACAACACAGTTCTGCCACGAAGGATTAAAATGAGGGTTCACCAAGTGGGATAAAGACAAGGACTGCCAGGAAAGAAAATTATAGCTGGAGACAGAACAGCCAACGCCATCCACCTCACCTCACATCTGCACCTCCCATTTCTATTATTAAAGTAAGATCAACGACACACTTCCTGTTTACCCACATCCCTTATTGATCTGAAGGTAATAATAGCAAGAGATGAGTCTGTGATCATAAATTTACAATGAAAACAATAAACCAATCATAAGTTTTCTATCTTCAAAGAGAAAAGACAGAACATTCTGAAGTTTCAAGATTAGGTGGGTCTGAAATTTTAGGGATATATATCTGAAAAAGATTTAAATTATATTCATCAAGATGTTAACAAGTAATTGTAGCTGGATAGAGGATTACATAAAATTTTTTATTTTCTTCTGGATGCTTCAAATATTTCCAAACTGCTCAGAAAGAACATGTATTACTTTCTTAAAAATTATTTTATTGGGGGCTGGAGAGATGGCTTAATGGTTAAGAACACTGGCTGTTCATGCAGAAGACCCAGGTTTGCATATCAGCACATACATGGCAGCTAACGACTGTAACTCCGATTCCAGGGGATCTGATGCCCTCTTCTGACCTCCATGGGCACTGCAGGACCTGGGTACATTTACACACATGCAGAAAATATACACATACACATAAAATAAAATATTTTTAAAATATTTTATTATAAGCTGGGTATGGTCTTTAATCCTAGCACTTAGGAGGCAGAGGCTGGTGGATCTTTGAGATTGAGGCCAGCTGGGGTTAGAGGGTCTCAAAAAACCATAAAAGGAAATTATTATTATTATTATAGTAGTAGTAGTAGTAGTAGTAGTAGTAGTAGTAGTAGTAGTAGTAGTGTGTCTGTGTCTGTGTCTGTCCATGTCTGTATGGGCACATGAATACCATGTCATGGGTAGACATCAGAAGACAACTTTTGGGAATTGGGTCTCTCCATGATGGATTCCAGGGCTCAACACAGGTACTTGCAGGGAAAGCATTGGCTCAAGAACATGCATTACTTTTTGAATTGAAATAAAAACATAAATGCCACTAAGAAGTGGGTGGGAAAAGTATAAACAGAAACAGATTTTTGCCCGGAGGTCGAGTTTCCAAAACATAAGCTTTCAGTTAGTTCACGGAAAACTAAAAGGCCTGGGTTTGAGTGCAACCTCAGTCACTTCATAGGGAGCTCCTGTAGGGAGCCCTGCCTTGATTGTCTTCATAACCTGATGCCACAGGTTTCCCAACATCCAGCAGTTAATCAACTTCTGTAGCACAAGCTCTAATTCCTTTCTCAGTCAAAGGGAGAAAAGGCTCCCTGCTCCATCTTTCAGGAAGGACAAAAAGAATGAAATAACTGGATGGGAAGGTATTTAAAGGAAGTTAGGCAGAAAAAAAATTGAAAAAAAAATCTAGTAATATATTGGAAATCAGACAACACAAAGCTCAGAAAAAGCTCTCTATTCTTCACTAATATGGAAAACCATGCATTACAAAACAGGCTCCTCTATAGTGTTCACAACTAAGTACATTATGGAACTGTTAAATTATGACAGGAAGTATAGAATGTCCTATCCTGACTCTTTAATTACTGACTTGATGGTGTGAGAAGCCTATTATTAATCTAGCCACAATGTTGTATTTTGATACCTTTATAAAAATAGCACACCTGCCAGGCATGGTGGCACACGCCTTTAATCCCAGCACTTGGGAGGCAGAGGCAGGCAGATCTTTATGAGTTCGAGGCCAGCCTGGTCTACATAGTGAGTTCTAGGCCAGCTGGGGCTACAGGGAGACCCTGTCTCAAAAACACACACACACACAAAGAGAGATGGCAAGATGGCACAGCAGTTAAGAACACTGGTTGTTCTTGCAGAAGACCCGGGTTTGAATCCCAGCACCCACATGGCAACTAACAACTGTCTGTAACTCCAGTTCCAGGGGATCCGACAGTCTCTTCTGTCCTCCTTGGGCATAGCACAACACGGGTGCACTTACCTACATGCAGGCAATACACGCATACACATAAAATAAAATAAAAAAAAATAGTACACCTTATGAGAGCTGATTGGTGCCAGTGAGATGAGTAACAAACACAGTGTGAGTCATGGATCAAGGAAAAGTCTGGGCCCAATCCAATCACTATTTAAAGTCAAGCCACTGACTGAGCTTCTGTTTTCTCACTTAAATACAAAGGAAAATAACAATACTTTGTTCAAAGGTCAAACAAACAATACTTTATGTTCAGGTTAACACTGAAGGAGCACACACCTGCTGCACTTATTAACACCAAGTTCTAACCACTCAAACTCTTTAGACAGCAAAAGAGTTTCTGCCATGCATATATTAAGTCACTGCATCATCCACAGCAGCATCAGCAAATTCTCTAAATTCCCACCCTCCATTGTCTCCAAACTCCCCTGCCTCTTTTCTCATCAGAATCTAAAGAACAGAGAGCTTAGTTCATGACCTCCAGCAACAACATCCAGAGAAACTCCAAGCGCTGCAGGAAGTGCCCTTGAACGCAGCTGGTAAGAGCCCATCCTTGGATAAGCTGTATCATCTCAGGTCTCCGGGTTCTTTAAGTCAAAATAAGGAATTCAATTGTACTGTTATGTTAGACATCTGTGCCTACTCACATCTTTTCTATTCTTAATTCTTTTTATTTGTTTTTATGTGTATGAGTGTTTCCCCTGCATGTGTATGTATATGGACCACATGCAGGCAGTGCCTATGGAGGCCAGAAGACAGAGTTGGATCCCCTGGAACTGGAGTTAGACAGCTGTTAGCTGACGTGTGGGTGCTGGAGATTGAACTTGGGTCCTCTGCAAGAGCAGCCAGTGTTCTCAACTCCTGAGCCATCTCCCCAACCCCGTTCCCTAGGTAATTCTAACATATCACTCAAAATTTACTCAGGACCAACTTAAGAAACGTTTCATTTATCCTTAGCATTTAACATGACATATTCATGAAACACCATGGTAGATGAAAAGGACTGGAATCATACAAATGATTTTCCCTAAACTCAACAGAATTAAAGTAATATCAACCACAGAAAGACACCTGGAAAATCCATAAAAAAATTAAATAGCATACCTCTAAGTAATCAATGGTTCAAAAGAGAAATACAGATAAAATAGAAAATATTTAAAATAAAATCAGAATGTGAAATTTTTGAACTACAGCTAAAGCAGTGCTTACCAAAAAATTAAACATTTATTTTTTAACAACAGAAATAAGGGGTGTGCTGGATATCTTTAGTGTCAACTTGACACACCTGGGTTGAGGGAGCCTCAGTTGGGGAATTGCCTCTATTGGACTGGCCTGTGGCCATGTCTGAGGGGCATCTTCTTAATGAGTGATGTGGGAGGGCCCAGCCCGCTGTGGGTGGTGCCACTCCTGGGCATGTGGGCCTGTGTTGCATAAGAAAGCAGGCTGAGTAAGGGTCAGGGGAGCAAAGCCAGTAAGCAGCGTTCCTCCATGGCCTGTGCTCCAGCTCCTGCTTCCAGGTTCCTGCCCTGAGTTCCTACCTTAGGCTCCCTGATGAACTGCGACCTGGGAGATGTAAGACAAATAAACTCTTTCCTCCCCAAGTTGGTATTGGTCAGAGTATTTTGTCACAGCAATGAAGAAAAAACTAGGACAAGGGGATAGAGAGATGGCTCAGTAGTTAAGAGCAGTTACTTCTGCAGAGGACCCAGGTTCAATTCCCAGCACCCACATTGTGTCTAACAACCATCTATAACTCCAGTTCTTGGGGCTCCAACACCTTTTTCTGACCTCCACGGTCACTGTGTGACACAGGTGTACTTACAAAGGAGGTGGGCCTTGAGGTTTGGGTTCCTACCCATCCTCCTCAGCTTCCTGACTATGAACACAATGTGACCAGCCTCTTCAAGCTCCAGCCACCACCACTTCCCCACTGTGATGAACTGCACCCCAGAACTGTGAACCAAAATAAACACTACAACACTAGGTGTAGTGGTGTGCAGCTATAATACCAGCACCTGGGAGGTGAAGGCAGGAAGATCAGGAATTCAAGGCCATCCTCAGCTTCATAGCAGGTTCAAGGCCTGCCTGGATATATGACCTTG